TCCGTGCTGGGTAATAAAGCCACTATTGTTCACAGCCCTGGAAGCCATTAATGAGTAACTGTGTGTGGCCCTGGCTCTGGCCCTGTACAACCATAGTTTATGTGACAAAAACAAGGTCCAATTTTTCTTCTGTAGTTTGAAGTGGGCCCAGAGCCCCAGGCCGATCAAGGCCCCTGCGACTGGAAGGGGTTTCCAGCAGCCATGGGCTGTCCCTGCTGAGCCCCTGCCTGCAGCCCAACAACACCGGGTGCCCCTCTGTGTCCACCAACTCAGGGTGCTGGCTGTGCGCTGGCTCCGCACACAAAACTCATGCTCTCAGGCACCAGATCCCGCAGTGGTCACTGCTGCGGGGACCCAATGAGGTGGGGGTCACCCAAGCCTGGCCTTGAGGAGGGGGCAGGCCCTGAGGCTAGGCCATTGGGGCCTGCTGGCAGGCACCTCTCTGGAAGCCCCTTGGCATTTGGAGGTGGCTTCTCCTCCTGACATTAGAAGGAGTAGAGGTGCCAGGTCATGGACCTGGGGGTAGGAAAATGTGTCGAGGGGCCAGTGGATGAGTTCTGTGCTACCGAGGACCCTGGTGCTCAGTGACTGGTAATCAGGTGGACAGAGCTCTTGGCAGAATGCAGGCAGCTGGCTGTGTGGGGAGGCAGTGACCCCCCTCCCCATCGTCTGGATGAAAAATAGAGGCACAGAGTGGGGGTGTCCAGGGTTCAGGGCTGGGGGGAGAGCTGGGGTCCCCACTGAGCCCTCTCACTGTTGTTATTGTCTCAGCAACAAGGAATGACAGCCAGGGGCTTGCATCTTCGTGACTCACTTGTCCCCACGAAATTCCCAATGCCTTGGAAATAGGGTCCAGGGTGGGCCCTAAGACAACGGTTGGCGGGAAATCTGGACACAGACACGCCCACTGGGAGAAGCCAGAGGACGATGGAGGCAGAGATGGGTGATGGGTCTACAATCCCAGGGCCGCCAAGGGTCGGCTGCAAACCACTAGAAAGGGGGGCAGGCGTCGCAGAAGGAACCAGCCCTGCTGGCACGCTGACCTTGGACTCCTGGCCTCCAGACTGAGATTACATTTCTGCCGTCCTGAGCTGCCCCGGGAAGCTCATACTCCCTCCTTGACTGTGTTTCTCAGCAGGTGAGCGCCATGATCCGGTCCTGGGCGCCCAGGATAGCTGGACACAGAGACCCCCCAGGCTGCCAGATGTGCCTGTAGCCTGCCCTGGGGCTGGTGTGGACAGAAGCTGTGTGTCCTTGGGCAAGTTGCAGAACCTCTCTGGGCTCGTTTCCTCCGCCACTGGGTTGCTGTGAGGGGTCAGAGGGGCTGGGGCTGGACAGGGCCGGGCAGAGCGAACGGGATCCCACGCGGGGTCAGGGCCTTTCAGAGCCGCGGCGGGGAGCTTGGCGGGGAGGGGCGTGGCCGCGCAGGAGGGGCGTGGCCGAGATGGGGCGTGGCCGCGCGGGAGGGGCGTGGC